GCCTGGTGAAAACACAATTTCGCGAGGGCTGATGGGAGAATCTCAGTGCTCCACTGTCGTTTTCTTTATCCCTCGTATATACTGGTTTACGATCAGCTACGTGCACATCTGTTGCCTAATTTTCATGTCACTTTGTACACGGTGTGTTTGTGTATGCGTAAGGCTTTTCCGAAATATAAAACTGCCCTTTATTATGGGAGCGACCGTGAGAGATGTAGACATAAGCATTTCAGCAGGGAGCCGTAACTTTTAGGCATCGCCCTTTTTTTTGTATAAAGCTATTTCGGCAAATAAGGGCCATATAGTACAATCCTTGCAAGAGTTGACAGAAATGATTTTCAAATGATTGCACGCAAGCGGTAAAAATGCAGACGCAGGCAGGGGGCCGTGTCACGAGAAGCGGCGGCCTCGTCAGATGCGCGCAGCTCGCCGTGCGGGCTCGTTGCGTGTCGGAGATGAAAATCGTTAAGGCCACCACCGGGTTCATGCTGACGGCACACGGGGGGGGGGGGGGGCTCATTTACGAACCAAGAATTGCGCCGCACCGAATGCTCGCCCGTCCTCCCTCCCTCACTCGCTCGTTCCACCACAGCCTCCGCACGAGCGGCCACATTATCGAGTCATTGATTCCGAAGCTCCCAGTGTCTTTTACGGCTCTCTCACCGAGTTGTTTTTTTAACGTTTCAGCAGCATGAAACGCATTCGCGAAATAAAAAAAAAAAGCTTTTCATTGCATTTCACGAGCCACCGTTTAATAAAGGTGGTCTATCTCCATTATCTCCATATATCTAAAAGGCAAAGTTGTGAATATGTGTCTGTTCAAAATGTTTAGCGCACTTCCAGACATGCAACAAACTGGAAATTTGCCATGTGGGTTTTGGGGTGGGGGGGGAGCTGAATAATGCATATATTTTTGCACAGCAAGTGAGCTGTGACGTCAAATCTGTCACGTGACCCGCGCACGTGGAAGCTTCACGCATTGTAGTGTAGTGGGTAGCGCGCTGTGCTACGAACCCGGCGACCCGAGTTCAATTCCCACTCACGGCCACCACCGGTGACGATTATTTGAACCGGTCTTAGGCCTCCCCTAGGTCGTCTCAGCCTCAAACGAGTAACTGGTGTGGTGTGTGAACATCGCCACTGGGGAGACAAAGGCGGCCGGGCGTGGTGAATCCAAGTCCCGGGCGAAGCCGGTAGTATAGCTCGTAGTTAATAAAATACAAACTATTACACCCACGCAGACATTTTCTGCTTTGTATCTCGCTGGGTAAGTTTGAATTCTATCTATGAGCAGGTGAGAGTAGCGCTAAAGCAGGGAGTACTTGGCACTTCCTCCCCCTTTATACTAAATCCGCAATCAATGCAGCCATCCCATAATCCTCCACAATTCACCACAATCAGCTTGCACAGCTTAATCACGGCTGTTTCATTCGGGAGGCTTAAAGTCCGTTTATAGTCCGTAGTAAAGCACTTGCCATCGTATGTTTGAACAAAGCTTCCCGATGTTTAAAAAAGTACGTAGCAATGCAAGGATGCTTAAGAAAGCATAACACTTATCTTGCTATCGTATCAATCTTTGCACGGGATTTATTTTGATACAAATCCCCCCACAGCAATTATGGTACCGGCTTTAAGATGTTGTAGCATAACTGCATGAACTCGTTGTGAATGACGAGGGAGTTTCCATCAACGCCCAACAGTTTCAGGACTGATAATTGGTTCTTTACCCTTCTATCTGGCAACAAAACTGACACCTTTTTGCAAGGAGTCATGTTTGCATAGACCGCAATACCTGCAGTCGGTCTATGCAAACATGACTCCTTGCAAAAAGGTGTCAGTTTTGTTGCCAGATAGAAGGGTAAAGAACCAATTATCATATTTTTACTGGCAAATGAGGTCCCCATAGTGTAGTTTCAGGACTATTTAACGTAAATACTTATTTGCGGTATGAATGACAGTAGGAGTAATGAATGACCGTGTGTGTATATACTGTATATTTAACTGGTCTCTTGAAAATGCCAGCTGACACTAAGTCTGGCTTTCCTGGGTAAATATAGGACTGTATTAGCGACATATAAAGAGGTAGCACAGGGCAAATTGATTGTGTGGTGTCTAAAAAGGCAACAACTCAATTAAAACACGCTTAATAGATAGAACTAATTAAGTTAGGCTATTATTTTACAATTATTGCACTGATTACACAAAATTAATCAACTGCAACTGAATTGATCGCCTTCTGATTTGGCGCAGATTAGGAGGGATGAGAGAGCTGGGGAAGTGAGGGAAGATGAATTCGTGTTGACGTAGCAGAGGAATCATCCGTTGGTATAGGATGTGTATTTAACATCTAACCACTGCACTTAATCAAAACACCAACACTTAATCGAAGGGTCATTCTGATGTCCATGATTAAGATAACAAATTGCAATATATAATCTCACGTATTGGATTTTAAATTGGCTTATTTTGCATTGAATTGCATTTTCTCTATACAACTCCTCTCCAATGTGTACACAGTCGGGTTGCACCGCATGTAGTTTGACGTGATGTCCAACGTTTCTCTCCACGCGTTCGGGAACTTAATAGAGGCACTCCCTTTCCTTCCTTGATTCGAAAGCATTCTCCCCGTTGCTGCTGGCGCTGCCGATTTTGTCGGACACTGAGGAAATCCTCGGACAACCTCATGCCGAACAACAGGCGGTTGGGATAATGTGTTGGAGAGCTCTACATAGCACGGCCACTACAACATACGGAGTCGTAAATAATGGTGCTTATTTAGTGTTTTGTAAAAAAAAAAATCTTCCCTAGGACGTTAAATTTGTTTCCCTACAGAAATTGCTATGAAAGGGGTTTATGTTGTAATATTTTATTTAAATTGGCTTGTCAATATGTTTTAATATTATTTCATGTTGTTTTCAGATTTTTCTTTCGCATGGGATTTCCCCTACCCCCCACTGTAAAATGCTTTCAACCCAGTCTGTCTTTCAAAGCAGACTTGCGTTGTCAATTACTTTCAACTTAATATAAAGGACATCTATCTTTAGCAGTCTATAAATATCTAATTCATTGTATCTGATCGTCAAATTGGGGAACAGTGCCACAGTAATTAGCGCACTGTGCTATGAACCCGGAAGCTTGAGGTTTATTCTGTACCACGAAAAACATTGGTGATGAGAGATGTTTGAACCCATCCTATGCCTCCCACTTCACAATTCTCACTGGCCAACCTGGTAAACTCCCGTGCCGATTCTGGGCCACATTTTAAATAAAAAACTAAATTATTTTGGGGTTTTTTGCAGCCTCCTTTGTGTTGTATCTCATGGTTTTCAGTCTCGTTTATACAGTTGTTTACGCCATTAGCCTAATATAACAAATAGCGTTTCGTTGTCACATGAAGGGCATCACGCCTATATAATTGATTCTGACATGCGCACAATTCGATGCATGTATCTTGAGCATATTCATCGAATTTTAATTATAATTTTTATCAATGCATCATTAACACCCCCGATATCTATCGAGTGTTTTCATGTTTTTGTTGGCAAGTGTGGCACTGGCAGGCAACTCCAGTGCTCCCAATTGCATCTTGTCACGTCCCGTCGCATCACGGGAATCGCGCCTCCGCCAGGCACACATGCGTCCGAGTGCATTACCGCGCCTTCGTGTGCTCAGTGAGCGCCATGTCACATTCATGTGAAGAACGGTGACTTGCATGAAGATGCCTTTTCACAGGCCGTTTCACCCCCAGCTTTCCTTGGGTAGGATGGGGAAGTAGAGGGAAGTTGTAGAAATAAAAACTGACGATGTACTGATTTATGTAAACCTTGTTTTGAGAAATGACAAAATATGACAATGTATGTGTTTATAATAATATATTTTTAGATATTCCGCGGGTTTATCCGGATTGTGCTATTAGAAATCAAATAATTCAATCAGAACTCTTGCAGAGCAGCCGAACCCTCCGTGCCAGAATGCGGCCCATGGAAACGGATGTCACAGAGATGCCTTCACGTGACCGTTTATCCACACTCGGGGGCAGTACTTTTTCTCCCGCCCTGCTACGGAGGAATGCTCTTTGCGTACAACCAAATCTATATTTTTAATTCTCAGAGCTAAAATTGAAGGAAACATTTTTGAGAAAAGCATACAAAAATTAACTTGCAAGTGGCTGACGCGAGTGATGGTGAGAGGAGTGGTGTCCTGAAAGCTGCTGCTGCCCCGAGCCATCCCTTTGCGTCTCGGGCTCTGGAGCCTCTCGTTCCAGCCAACGTGTTGCAGCATCACAGCTGACTGCCGAGTGGCTGGGACACGCATACCTATTTAATGCAATAGCTCTCTCCGTCTTTGTCTGTAATGGGGAGGGGGAGGGGGCATGATAACTTTCGTAAAGTTGATCCAATATGAACCAAACTTGAGTGTAAAGTTGTGTTGCTATTATGGACTTACCTTCGGGAAAGGTGGTCAAACTAATCAAACTAGCTATCTGAACCCTTTCGTCTCATTGTGACCTATGCCTGGTACAAGCGCTACTGCTTTTATTGGAGATTGAAATACTTTAGCGCACAAACATAAGCTGGAAAGGTTTGCAGAATCCAAGCGTCTGCATGATTTTTCTTTTCTTTGGTGCCAATCTTCTTACATGACCACACCATAGGAGCGCTACGTTCCTCAATTATTTCGATCATTTCAATTCACATTGCCCATGATGGAATATTATTAAATTAAATGTAATGTAATCTTGAGAAAATCGGAAATTTGGATCACAGGGATGGTGTCATATTACATCTGAAATATTCTCCATGAGCACGGATATACAGTAGTTAATGCACCTTGGAGCACAGAGTGTTCACAAAGGCTTCAGTGGGCAGTTGTTGTTTTAAGAGTTGACGGATGTTTTTTTATTAATTAGATATTTTTATTAATGCGGGAACATCTCGTCTGCAAGCGTGTCCGGAATGTAACTGAAATTTGTGCACCCGCTGTTTCCACCGGCGGCACAGGCCAGCTGCGAGATCAACGGTGACATTCCCGCACGGTTGCCCTCGATCCAGGAGGACAAGGAGGAAGAGGAGGAGGAGGACGACGACGATGACGGTGGCCCCGACGAGCACACTCCGCTGTCAGCCAACTCGAGCAGCAGTGGCTGCAGTGTCCATGCGTCCTTCACACCGCGACCGTCCCCGCGCCCGTCAACACACGGCCTCTCACCTCGTGCGACCTCCCCTCCACACGGCGGCAGCACTTTCATCCGCACGACGATGGCCACGATGGGCGTCACGCACCCATCGGAGTACCCCAGCCGCGGGGGTGGCCTGGGCATAATGCAACCCCACGACAGGAGGTTCCCCATGCGGAGCCGAGCGTTCGGCGTGAGTGCGCCGGAATGCGCTGGGCGGGCGGCGAGGCCGGAGGTCGAGGAGCCGGGGCACTGGGGCGGCCTGCAGCTGTCGGCGCAGGGTCTCGGTCACGCTCAGCCGCTCAGCCCCAGGTGAGTCCGCGCAGGTGGAGCTCGGCAAAGTGCATCTCGGCCAACATTGCTGTCACTTTAAACGTCGTCTGTCGTTCCAAGCGGTGAACCCCGGAGAGTTTAAGCCCTGGTTAAAGGGGCCAGACCTATGATCAAGTCGCCCAGAATGTCCTGATGGTACTTAGATAGGTGATGATGACCACACAACAGGTTGGTATAGGTTGCAGGCCTAGATGGTGGGCAGCAGAGACCGTGCCGCAAATCTATTTGTTTTTCTGTCCTGTACTTCGATGCTGCCTGCCTTCAGCAACCCGTACTAACTTGTGTGGTGAAGTATAATCAATTATTATACCTGACAAAGGAAACATCTGTAATTACATATGAAATGACCGAAATTAAGAGGCACTCACCCCAAGCCAATGTGCAGCCAAACTGGATTTCGAAAAGTAGGCCAAGGCCTCCTATTGGGCAGGAGGCAGAGTTTGAAAAGATTGCAGGAAGGATTTAAACGGGGAAAGGTGGGAAACAGAAGTGGAACCCGGAGGCGACGGTTGGGAATCGTTGGAGGAGAAGGCCAGGGGATTGCCTGTGGTACAAACAGAGGGAAAGTTCGAGAAAGGGGGCTCGAGAAGAATAAAAGGGGAGAGCACGAGGAGAGGGGATGTTCGAGGGAAGGGACGAGCTAAAATAAAGAGGCTCCGAGTTGACAGTCGTCGGTGTATTATCACATACAGTGAGGGAAAAAGTATTTGATCCCCTGCTGATTTTGTACGTTTGCCCACTGACAAATAAATGATCAGTCTATAATTTCAATGGTAGGATTACTTGAACAGTGAGAGACATAATAACAATAACAACAACAAAATCCAGAAAAACGCATGTCAAAAATGTTATAAATTGATTTGCATATTCTTAGGTTTTTTCGGTAAAGTCACGTAGGTAAAAAAATAAAATTAATAAAAGTAAATGAAAATAAAAATCACGACGTTTCGGAGGCAACACAAGCTTCCGTCTTCAGGTGGAACCGTCACAGCCCGACAGCTGTATCAAGTAAATTAGAGATTGCAGGAGATACCACTCCGTATATATAATGGTTGAGGGGGGGGGGCCAGGAATGGCCAACTTTTTAAATCCTTTATATTAAGTTCGCGTGCTTGCTTGCTTGCTTGCTTAGGACCGTACAAATCTTTCGGTCGTTTTTTAACCCACTTCCCGTGATCCAATCGAGCTGACATTTTCCACACAGACTCGTTGTGCCAGACAATTATTGTTCGTGAAAAAAATTCCCAAAATTTTACACTTTTTAGGCAAAAAAATTTTATTTTACATTCAAATAGAACGCATTCGTGGCTTTGGCTGAACGTCAGAGTGTAAGAGCCCAGAGCGTAACCCCTCCACAGGCCGTGGTGGAGTAGCGCAGTTGGTAGCGCCCTCGCTTCCCATGCCAAAGGTCGCGGGATCGATCCCCTCGTCCTCCACAGGCGAATATATTTTTAAATCCTTTATATAAAGTTCGCTTGCTTGCTTAGGACCGTGCAAATCTTTCGCTCGTTTTTTAACCCACTTCCCGTGATCCAATCGAGCTGACATTTTCCACACAGACTCGTTGTGTGTGACAATTAATTTTCGTGAAAAAAAATCCAAAATTTTACACTGTTTAGGGAAAACAAATTAAATATTTAATTACCAATTGCTTAATGGTGGCAGACAATCATCTGACCCATAGGTGAGACGAGAGGACTCTAGCCGCCACGCATATAAAGGATTTATAGTGAAAAACTTTGTTTTTACGGGTTTGCTTGTTATTATTATGGTAAGGTGCAGTTTGAGACTATGAATAGACTGCATAACAAAAGACTGAGCCTTTATTATGGAGAGGATCGATTTGTGACTACGCCTAGCCTACATAACAAAAGTGTGAAAAAGAAAGCTAAACCTGGTAGAAAGCTAAACCTGGTAAAACAAAACTGGCTGTCCATCAGTAACCTGCAATCGTTTTCTGCCAAATAAGATGGTCCAAATAAGTGTAGTTAAATCTTTTTTGCATGGTTAATCACATCTTTACAATGATTAAAGGTGTGGATTGAGACTATGAATAGACTGCATAACAAAAGACTGAGCCTTTATTATGGATAGGTTTGGTTTGTGAATACGCCTGGCCTACATAACAAAAGTGTGAAAAAGAAAGCTAAACCTGGTAGAAAGCTAAACATGGTAAAACAAAACTGGCTGTCTATCAGTAACCTGTAATAGTTTTCTGTCAAATAAGATGGTCCAAATAAGTGTAGTTAAATCTTTTTTGCATGGTTAATCACATCTTTCCAATGATTACTCAGTTTGTAACCATCATCACGGTTGAAATTATGACTGTGTTTGTATATTTGTATGGCTTCGTGTACAACCCTTTGATGGTAGCCAGGAGGTTTGCAGAGCACCTTGGTCTCGGAAAAGACAATTTCATGAGAGCCCACAGAGTTGTAGCAATGATCGGCAACGGCCGAAGAATCAGTTCTGCCGTGTTTCAGATCTGACTTGTGCTCGCGGACACGATCAGAAACATGACGTTTCGTTTCTCCAATGTAGCAATCACCACAACTGCAACTCAATTTGTAGACTCCAGGATACTGTAAGTCAGGAACGACATCCTTCACAGATGAAATCAGATCACGGATTATATGCACTGTACTGAATCGGAATTGGATCTTATGTTTGTTTAGAATTTTGGAGATCTTTTTGGTCACGCTTGCTATGTATGGTAACGTGATTATGGTTAATGGATTCCTGACGTTCAGAACCGGTATTCGAGTCTTTCATAACCATAGTACAGATACAACTGTTTGTGTATACATATTAGCACACAACACATATTTATACTGTAAATATTTCAGTTGTGATCATGCATCAATTCATTGATAAGCGCTGATTGTTCAGTTCACGCCATCTACATCCAAACTAAAACATTTTTTTTTATTTTGCCAGGTAAGGCCCACATCAAATTACATGTGTTAAGAATGTTTTGTTAAGAACGACTCTCAATCGGTATGATGGATTTATGTGACCCCTGCAGCCACGAGTGGCTGCTATATTCACCGCATTTTTAATAAGAAAAGGAAAAAAAGACTTGCGTGAAAAAATCAAATCGAGATTTGGAATCATGACAATTTAGCGCATTGTCGGGGGGTTAGATCTTAAACTTCTAATATATCAGTTAGCACAGTGCACATTTCTGTGCAGCGTGAAAAATTACAACAAATAAGTGGTCAGCGCCAACAGTCTTTCCTCGTATACCCAGGGGGTTAGAGCTAGAGCGGTACGCACGATAGGCAAATGCAGATCGTATCGTTACTCATTCTGATAAATATTTAACATTGGTTTAAAGTTCATTTAATGTTCACCAAGTCGTGCCTTGCCCCTCTCCCCCTGAGTTGTTATTTGCCCCCGTTCAGACAAACTCAATCTGCTGCTGCTCTGCTTGGAATAAATAAGCACCTCCACTTCTCTCCCCCTCGCAGGGTTGTTGATGGCACTGAGGACACAGGAAGCTCCCAGAGGGTCAGGGGGTCAGCCAGCTTCACGGATGTCGCCATCGTCGCCGCCACACCCGCGAGCGGTATTTAGCTCCAAATCCTCTCTACTGTGCTCTCGGGTTGTTACCGAGCGTTGTTCGGCACAGTGTCCCAACATTTCGCTCCGCGTGCTGCGAGTTCAGTTCCTCAAGAAGCTCCCAGCATGTTGAGCAAAAACCGATAACAATCCAGATTATTATAAATATTACACGTGTAAGATAACGGTAACTGCAACACTCTATTGTTGCCTTTTTAATTCACAAAAAGAACGTGTATAAAAAATGTATTGCAATATATAGCACTTTAACAGTCAACTGCTGGATGAAGGATGTTTGGCTGAACTTCATCACACTGGTCAGTGCTGGGAGGAAGCACAGAACTGGTTCAGATGACACTCGGGTCTTGAGACTTGGTTAAATAAAGGACATTGTTTCGATGATTATACATTCCTTGTGCCAGTTGTGAGGACCGTCGTAGTCATGAACAGTGTCCCGTCAGCATGCTATCTTGCATTTGCAGGGTTTCACCTCGCTGCACAACAACCCCATGCCAGGGGTTCATCGGATCTCGAGGAAAACCGGCAGAGCATAAACCGGCTCAACGAGCAGGTAGAGTTATAGGGAGCCTATTGTGCCCCTCCCTCACTCCCCCACCACCACCCTCACGCCAGATCTTGGCAGATTGGGACTCACCCCTGCCTACATCTGAGCTCTCATCTCACTCTGCTCCGCAAACTCTACTACCTCTCCCCTCTCATCTCAGTTCTCCATGCACACACAATGCCACCGTTTTACAACAAGTGGCACTGTGTGAGTGTGAAGAGTGGGTGGCGAGGACTGAGGTAAGCGAAGGACTGTGAGGAATTGTGTTAGGGAATGGCAGTATATCAGACAGGGAAAGGAGGACTTCCCTCACAATCTAGATACTCAGCTGGGAGCCAAGGCAAACGTTGGTTTTATCTGACTTAATCGGGTTTGTGCCAGCTGTCAATTAGTGATGCGTTGCTTACAGGATTAATTACAGAGCACGTGTGTTTTTCTCATAAAAAATCAAAACCCATGTAGAGGCCGACCGAAACCGAAAGTAAACTGAAAGTAAAAAATTTACTTTCGGTCGAAACCGAAAGTTTACTTTTTGGCTTCGGCCGAAACAGAAACTATGCCGAAAGAGGCCATTTGCCCACTTTCGGTGCCGAAACCAAACCCGAATTTCGGTCGGCCTCTAGACGCTTCACAGACTCGCACGCACGCACACCCAAGCCCCCTCCTGCTGTGTGGAACCCATGTGGAGGAAGAGGAGGTGGGGTGGGATGGGGTCGTGGGAGTGTTGAATTGGATCTATATTCTTAGGTTTTTTCGGTAAAGTCACGTAAAAAATTTTTATAGAAGTAAAATAAAACAAAATAAAAAAATCACGACGTTTCGGAAGCAACGCAAGCCTCCGTCTTCAGGTGGAACCGTCTCAGCCACGACAGCTGTATCAAGTAAATGAGAAATCACAAGAAATACCACCCCGTATATATAATGGTTGAGGGGGGAAGGGCCAGGAACGGCACACTTTTTATTAATATGGTAAGGTGAAGCTTAAGACTATGAATAGACTGTTATATTTGAATTGGATCATTGAAGGGGTGGGTTGGTGTGTGTGTGTGGCTGGTGAGCGGATGAGTGAGTGAATGTGCGTGCGCGCGTATGCACACTGTTGGCATCAGCACGCTGCTATAATCTGCTCAGTGTGCTGTGCATGCGCGCGTCTGTGTGCTATGCGTGCGCCCGCGTGTGTGTGTGTGGTGCGTGCCTCGAGCTGCCTGTGAGAGCCCAGCCTCTGAGCCGCTCAAACAAAGGTGCTCCTGGTAGATTGCTGCTGCTGCGAGTGCTGGCTACGCGTGTGCTGCTTGCTGCTGCTGCTGCTCGCTAGTTTGGTGTATTTGGGGGGAAAGTTTTTTTTCTTATTATTCTTCGTCGTCTGTCTTATCCCCCCACCACCACCACACCCTCTCACCCCCATCCTTGCTTGAGTGTCTGCACTGCTTGCGATCGCCGGAGATAGTGAGGAGCGTCTGCTATCAACCACCGCCGCCGCCGCTGCTGCCCGGAGTCGCATGGTTTCGGCCGAAAATGAAACCAGACCGAAAGTTAAAAATTTACTTTCGGCCAAAAGTAAAAAATTTACTTTCGGCCGAAACCGAAACTATGCCGAAAGAGGCCATTTGCCAACTTTTGGCATCGAAACCGAAACCGAATTTTGGTCGGCCTCTAAACTCATGTATATTTCCATGTTTATGCGTTTGTGAAAGTGACACTCATGCAAGACGCAAAGTATATTATTTTGTGTGTATGTATAAGAGGGGCGAAGTGGCGATGCAATGCTTTGTACCCTGTACCATGGACCCTGACACCCGAGTTTGGTAGTGATATTCGAACTGGTCCTGGATGCCCTCTCCACCAACCAGCACTGGCCAAGCTTGGGGAAACATGGTCAAACAACCCCCAATACCAACTCAGCACGGGGAGGCCTTCATGCAGCAGTGGATTGACAAAGGGCTATAAACATATACGTAAGTATATTTGTATGAAAGATATTTGCGTATTGGTGTGCATATTGTGCGTTAATTCAATTCCAGATGGACAACATGTCGGGAGAGGTGTGCAGACTCAGCAGGGATATCAGGCACCTTTTGGAGATGCTCAGGCCTGTTCTAAGGTCAGGGCCTCCAGGCTGGACCGCGGGTGTTGTCGTTAGCTCGTTCAACGGAAACGGAGAAGACTCCACCGCGGGGCCAGAGCATCACCACCACGGACCCTCTTTCTCTCTCTTGGGCCACTGCGAGAGCGGAGAGGACAGATTTCTGCCCACTGGTTCAGAGTTCCAGCAGCAGCAACAGCAGGCATGCCTGCTGTCCAGCCGAGAGCGCGACAGACACGCCATTGAAGGGGTCAGCGTTTTCCCGGCTGATAGTGGCAATCCGGGCTCTCACACCATGCCCGGAGAAAACCTGCCAGGAGGAACGGCCTTGGAATCTGACGGCCAGGAGACTCGGGGTCAAGAGGTCAGCGTTAGAGCATTGCTTCTCCAAAGCGACGAGTCGTCACTCAGAACCAAAGGGAAGCCGCCCCCTGACTCGTCGAAGTGGCCTCAAGATGCTCCCAGTGGATCCAGCGACAGCCAAAGCCCTGAGAGTCGAGTGGGGGATGCAATTGCAAACACGGCCAATGCGGTGTCGATGTTGCACTCTGGTGACAGGGACACATTCTCTATGTGCGTGCTGAAAGGGCCTATGGGACACCAGGTCATCGACGTCGTCGAATTCGCCGATGAGGAGGGAACGAACGTGTAGAAAAAGCTATGCCAACGGGACGTTAACGCACGACAGCTATCCTGGCACTGCGAGAGATATGTGGGGCCTGGATTTTCTATCCAGCCAAGATTGCAAATATGTCATTTTGACCAAAGACTTTAACCTTTATTTTGCTAAGCTATCAATGTATGAAACACTGTAGAATCGGCACATTAACGAATGGAAGCAACTGCTCTGTGGGCAGCTGCTGCTTTGCCATGTAGTTGTAAAAGTGCTGAAAATGTAATGAATTATTTTAAATAACTTACTGTCCATTTTTTTTACCATGGTGACAAAACGGTTACAACATGGTGCTGCCAACGGCAGCCCTATGACACGTCTATTCATGGGGTGCTTCTGAAACCATGATAAGCTGGAACCTGCAACTTTTTAAGTTGCGTTGCAATTTATAAACATCTTCACGTAAATCCATTTGTACACTTAGTTGAAATAACAAACATCGGATGCAGGTTGTAGCTATTTTTTAATAACATTTAATAACATTTACATAATATCGATACACATCTATAAAATGTTTAATGGGAGGGAGGAGGGGTTTGCAACCATGTATGGAAAAGTGGTGGTCCAAAAGTTTTGGGAAGAAGATGACAGGTGCATCAACATCAAGCTATGCTTATGTCGACACATTCTTCAGTAATAATACACCAGAATAAGCACATTGATGCTGGGGTTTTGATTCGCCAGAAAGTACTTTCACCACAGAGATGGAGCGGTAAAATCAACAGATAGATTGTTGCATCTCAAGACCATGGGAGATTTCGATTTAAAGCGTTCGTGACTGCAGGCATTCATATTATTGGATCTTTCAGTAAAGTCACGTAGAAGGGAAATAATAAAATAATAAAAATGAAACAATACAATTCTCACGACGTTTCGGCCACAACACAAGCAGCCGTCCTCAGGCGAAGAACAGAGCTGTCGGAAAGACAGCGTCCTAATGTTTTTCCGACGGCCCTGTTCTTCACCTGAGGACGGCTGCTTGTGTTGTGGCCGAAACGTCGTGACAATTTTATTATGTTTTATTTTTATTATTTCCCTTCTACGTGACTTTACCGAAAGATCCAGGAATACCATGGGAGATGTTAACGGCTTGGGGAGGCTTTCATCCAGCAGTGGATAGATCATTGCCTACGATGATGATGAATCAAAGTTTGAACCTAATGTAACTGTGAATATATGCATAATTTTATTATCTAATTCTCAAATCACTTTGTAGCCACCTCATGTAGTATAAGAGTAAGACTGTTGCCCTGGCAGCAACAACACAAATTCCCCCTCTTCTTCGTTAAGTAAAAACAAATGTGCGGTCTTGTTTTCTGTTCTTTTAATCACACAGATATATAATGCAGTCTTTGTGTACATACTAGTGGCTTCTAAAGATTGTTTTTCACTCCACCCTGGAAAGTGGCCTTGTACTGAAAACAAAATCGGGTAGACCATCGTTTCTCAAACTCCCGACCTCACGAGCCCACCACAGGTTGTTCTAAGATCACCTAATGTCCCTCCCTTCAAATACAAATTAAGTGGTTACACGCAACATATACCTGCTGATTCTAAAACACCTATGTGATGTAGAAATGATGATTATAATTAAAATGGAGGTCTTGTGTGCTCGTGCATGCTAAGGTTGCACGATATGGAAAATTTGCGACACATTGTACGATATAAGATCCACAATAATCATATCGTCCATTTTGTTAACTTTTGTTACATCGTGGTTATCGTTGCTAATTTGATTTGTTAAAATATTTTATTTCCTAACGACATATTTCTGAAATAACAAACAATTTATATTCTAAATAAATAGCTATTACTGTAAACCCATTAAATACGTTTTCTGAAAAAGACATGGCTGTTATATGTTATTGTAATAATTTTCAAAGTCAATTTAATTATTCATTGTGGTTGACAGTGTGCGAATTATCAGTGTCACAGATTGCAAAGCTCTGAGAGATCAGAAAATGTGGAGTAGGCTTATTTTGAGTAAACTGCAGTTGCATGATTTTAAGTAAACATTTTTTTGTACTGGATGTACAGTAAAGCACAACAAAAATAGAATAGAAATGCGAAACGCAATTCCAAAAATTCTGGAAAACTGATATCACTATTATCATCACTTTGCAAAAATGTATGTCGTGAAAACTATGCCACGGAATCCCTAGTATGTGCACCCCAAAAGTCACGTGGAATGTGCTGTCCATGTCACACGATGCTGCTGTTTAGAAATAATGAGGGATGTGCAGCATCTAACGAATCATTGTGCATTGAATGGAGAAGAGCGGTAAACGTGGAAAGGTGGATCATGGAGCTTCGTGTGGAACTGGAGTTTGAGAACCCCTTGGTGTAGAATATGTATAATAAGCACAATTTTAGCAACAATATTTCCTATACTTGTATTGACAATTTACGGTGGTTGACAAAAGTCTCAGCATGTACTTTTAAAAAACCAACAACCAACTTTGTGTTTCATAAATAGTGAAATGCAAGATGTTTTGTACTGGCGCGACTACATAAGCATGAGCAAGCAACCAGTTGTGTGGATGGTATATGTGTATCAGTGTGCACTATTATGTTCTCATTTACCAAATTACACCACTCAAAGTTATTTCGGTGCAAAAGATATATGCTCATGCGAATCTCTGTTTATCAATATTCACTGTTAGGATAATTGAACATGATGACAATATCGAATCATCAAGTGCATAAGTTCAGGGGAAGGCGTTGGGCATTGTGGGCGTGGGTGAAATTGACGGGCTCATTACCAGACTAGGAGAGTAAATGCATATTCTAGTAGCCAGTCACTGCACTGATAATACTGCACAAGCATGCCCAACGCATACTCGTATTAAAGCTTGCATGTCATTCTAGGACGCGTCACACGTAAATAAATCAATAAATGGGCCCGGCGTGTCTCTCCGATCATGTTTCACGTTACGCGTCCGGTTCTTCTCTGGGTGAGATTTCGCTGCAATGCAACACAATCACGTTCTCGGTTCGCTTTCCATCGACCGGTGTGAACGTCGTGCTCATTGATGATAAGCAAACCCTAAATGTGTGTGTATAAATAGTTATAGGTAAGTGTATCCTGCCTGCTATCATCCTGTTGTTGGAAAATAATGTATTTATATATTTTACTACTGAGGCTTTAGCTTGCGATGGATATGATAGGAAGGCCATGGTTTCTACACCAGCAATACTAATGTATAACCATATCCAGTATTTTTGCATGTTGGATTATGTTGTGTACTCATTTGTATGTGGGGTTTTTAGTCTGCGCTAGGAGTAGGGCTCATCTGAAAGCTTCATTTATAATGCCACGTGGAGAATAAGCATTGTTCCTTATTTCTGCCTGCGCCACGTGTGAACTGAGCAGCTAATTGGCTCCATCATTAAACTCGAGTTCCAAATTATTTAGGTGGTTGGGGGGCGTGCAGAGTCTGGATTCAGGCCCAGGATTACAGAAATGGCAGAGGTAAATAAAATAAATGTCTAGCCAAGATTAAACCTGTTCTACTTTTGTAACAAAGATAAAATACCGTAATGTACACCAGCAGCGGACACTTGCTGCCCTAGCCTTCGTCAAACACTGGAATGCTCGTTTCTTCATGTTCCACATGCATCACCATAACAGTAATAATAACGATATTTTTCGTCGGAACCAGCAAGATTAAAAATGAGGTTTCTTTTTGTTGGCAAGTTAATAAATAATGTGTTGGCTATAATTTCAGTAGTTAAACTAAAGAAATTGCTTATGACTCATGATGGCCTAGTTGGTGTGAATTAAAAAAAATATATGTCTGACTTGTACAGATAAAAAAATTTGTTCAGCGTTTTAGTGAAGAGTTATCACGTACATTTTGACTTAAAACTTTCGTGACTGCAGGAATTCATATTCTTTGGTTCTTTCGGTTAAGTCATGTAGATAGAAATTTAAATAAATAAAAACCCACGACGTTTGGGTCTGTCTATAGGAAAGTAACCCATACTGACGCCTACCTAAAACCTGATTCCCACCACCATCCATCCCAGAAGAATTTCCTCATCAAAACGCTACACCATATAGCTCAATATATCTCCGACCATGAACACCTAACCAGTGAACTCAAACACGTACACCAAGCTCTCAAGGCGAATGGATATTCTGACTACACAATCCGCAAAGCCATCACCCCAACCGTTAGGAAGAAGCCATCTGAAGATCCAATCAAAACCATCACCTTGCCATACATAGCAGGGAAAACCAAAAATATTTCCAAAATTATGAACAAACACAAGATCCAGGTCCGATTTAACACAGTACATAAAATTCGTGATCTGGTTCCATCTGTGAAAGACAAGATTCCTGACAATATCCCGGCGTCTACAAACTAAGCTCACGGGCGGATCCAGTGGGGGTGGGGTGGCACGTGCCCCCCCCCCCCCCCCCAATGATCCGATCGAAATCCCTCATTTCGATCGGATCATTGGGGTTTATTAGTAATAAAGCAGCATTTTGCGACCCCCACTGCCACTATGTAGAATATTATTATGTGCCAGGGACTCTGAGATGATAAGACAATAGTCTGAGTCCATAATTGGCGATAAGTAACGGCAAAGCAGTTATAAGTGACTTACAGAATTGTGCGCAGTTGCGTATACAGTACATGACTTCCCCGAAGGCCTTGACCTTCAGCAAGCGCTATGCCCATCACACACGGTTCGAATTCGACCCTCGTCATCGCCGCACACGCGTCAAATAAAAAGCAAGGGACAAGTCCTTACTACTAACAACTCCTATCATTTTTCATTGCTGGAGGGGTTGCCCCCCCCCCCTACCTGAAAATCCTGGCTCCGCCATTGACTAAGCTGTATCTGCGGCAGCAGTTACATTGGGGAAACTAAGCGACATGTCTCGGACCGTGTTTGGGAACATAAGGCAAATTTGAAACACGGTAGGACCCAATACTTCCGCCGTGGCTGATCATTATTTGAATGCGGCTGGCTCACACAAAATTGATTTCTCTAAGACGATGGTACTTTGCAAGCCTACTGGCTGTCAACAAAGATTCGTTCATGAAGCCATCCATATATACAGACAGACACAATTTCAACCGAGAGGACGTCAACCTCCGTCGTCAGCAGTGTGGGTGTGTGGAGCGAGGTGCAATTCCTCCTATCTCTACCCCCTGTTGTATTCTCCTATATTAACATTAGCTGCCCCGCCCATGCTGCTGACGAACTTGGACTACACCAATCTCTAAACCTTTATAAACAGATTACTTTTGGAGGCTAACCTTTTCCTGACGACGACCACTTGTGTTGTGATCGAAACGCCGTGGGTTTTTTGTTTTTATTTTCTATCTACATGACTTTACCGAAAGAACCAAAGAATAAGTTATCACATACTCAGTTTTATGTTAAAATTTGAACATGTTGTCCTGGAGTAAAACCAACAATAAAATAGTTTTCACAAGTGATCTTTCACATCCATTTCTGTATCTTCAGTATAATTCCCTCAATTGGCAAGTGTTAAATTCTGTTTAACAAACACACAAAGCTGTGCATTATCCAGACCACCAGCTAAAAAATAACATAGTTTGTGGCCATTTTGTCATTTCGATCACCAACTCAAAATTACTTTTAAAAATCTTGACATTCCAATAGGCAAGACACAACTGCTGCTGCCATAAGCCTGTGAGAACATTATATATGGTGATGACTTGTACCTGTACACTATGGGGACCTCATTTAACACTTGCTTAAAGGCAATGTTAATTCAAATATATAAATGTCGAAAAAAGCCATAACAAAAATAGATTTTAAAACACACAAAAGTGTACAATACATATACAATAGATCTAAGCCTTATCCAGATCACCAGCTCAAAATAACTAATT